CACGATGATATATGTCATCAATGGGGGAAATGAAATTATCAATTCCCTGCCTGGCATATGAATTGAAGTCGCGCTTTAGTTAAAAGGGTTTGGTTCCCTAGGATTGGTTTTTCCTGGAAAAAGTGGCAGGAAAAAACATGGGCTTTTTGCTATGCAAAAGAAAGGCTTTTTTCAGAAAAACTTTGTTACTACTGTCTGCAGGAATCTTAGAGTAGAGGATAGATGGGTGGTTGTTGATCTTTTGGGCTATAAAGGGGGCATGCTATTGTTTTGGTCTAGTAGTACCACTGTTGTTTCTATTAATTCCCTTTGTTTTGGTTTTGAAGTTTGCCTTTGTATCAATGGGTGCTCTGAGATATTTTGGGCTTTCTTCCTCTATGCTAGCACAGATTATAGAACCAGAGTCTCCCAGTGGAATATTATTTCCAGTATTAAGAGTAGTTGGGGTGATAAATGGGTGGTAGGCGATGATTTTAATGACATTGTATCTAATTAGGATAAGCAGGGAGGGAGAGCGAGGAAAGAAGAGAGTTTTCAGGGTTTTAGGTCTTTTATCAGGGATATGGGCATGGTTGATATGGGGTTTAATGGCCACCCTTTCACTTGGGCTAATAAAGACAAGGGATGGACTTTGCAGAGGTCAGGTTAGATAGAGTCTTTTGTTCTCCGGGCTGGCTCTTACAGTTTCCCCATTCTAAGGTCACACATATCCCTCTTTCTTCTTCAGACCACTACCTTTTGTTTCTGGAGACTTGTCTTCATGATAGTAGAAGGAAGAAAAGATTCATATTTTACTCTAGGTGGCCTAGCAAAGAGGGATACCAGGAAGTGGTGCAGAAAGCCTGGAGTTTGCCAGTGGAAGGTCCTCCTTTGTTTGGTATGCAGAACAAGATAAAGAATGTCAGGCTAGCCTTGCTGGGATGGAAAGATAAACAAGTTACTAATTCTTCTATCCTCATTGAAACTTATAAGTCTAGAATTTCAGTATTGATGAAAGCAGGGGGATCTAGAGATTGGGAAGAATGGAACTCATGTAAGAAAAAACTTGATCAAGCCTACAAGGAGGAGGAATGCTACTGGAGACAAAAGTCCAGAGTTATGTGGCTGAGAGAAGGAGATAAGAACACAATGTATTTCCATGCTTATGTGAGGCAAAGGAGAAGGCTGAATAGCATTGAGAACTTGATAAGGAGAGATGGTCACAAATGCAGAAATGAGGAAGAAAATATGGAGGAAATAGTGAATATATATCGGGAGCTGTTCACAACATCCAATCCTCTGCTCACTAGTTGCAATCTTGATGGAATCCCTTGCACCATTACAGAGGAGATAAACCGAGAACTCACCTTACCTGTAGAAGAAGAGGAAATCATAAGGGCTTTGATGGAAATGCACCATCATAAATCCCCCGGCACTGATGGTATGACCCCTTTTTTCTTCCAATCTTCCTGGAATATTATAAAGCCTGATGGAATTTTTTGTCTAGCCATTAAAAACTTTTTCAATTCCAACAGATTACCTAAATCTACTAATCATACTACTATAACCTTAATTTCCAAAATTCAAAATCCCCAACAGATTTCAGATTACTGGAAAAAAACTTATGACGCTGTTAGTGCTCGCTCGTGAGAATAACTGGAAAATTATACGCTATATGCGTAAGTATACGTTATGATAAAGTAGAGCTTGATCATCTTTTATATACCACGGTATCTTGTTGCCCAAGTAGAGTGCTAGGAGAGATCCAACATTATATACTTTCCTAGTTTATCAAGTCTCTACAATCTCAAACTCCTTAGTGACATACAAGGATTCTGTCACCCTTTACCATACGACACATAGGTCCTTAGATTGCTCAAACAACCTCGCAACCTATCTGCCACCGAGTTCTAACCAGGTCATAACCTCGATGTTTACTCTCACGACCTTCGGGTCATGAGGTCCTCTCATCTATCTGAGCTCATGAAGAAGCTCCACCTCCAAATCTTCTTATCACGTCGACATGTACCCCGACCTACATAAGCGAAACCCTTGACGAGACCAAACGCCGAGACTTGTAATGAAATACAAAATATTACCGTTTTAACTTTCTCATTAAATGTGTTGTCAAGCAATCTCGGGGGCCTTAACTTATAATACTGTGTTTAACTTGTACTCTAATTTAAACTGTTTTAACTTATAATATTGTTTGTTTAAAATTATAATATTGTTATCTAACTTATAATTTTAAAATTATATATACATAAATAATTTATAATATTTTATTTATATATGTGCAAATACATATGATGAAATACCAGTTGGATATACTCTAATTTAAACTGTCCATTGTATCCGATGGTCCTCCCTGGGAATTTACATCAAATAAATACACTATGTCTTTTCTTATTAACTCTTCATCTTTTCTCAAAATATTATCTCTATTTTCACTAATGAGGGCTATTATTGACAAAAAAAAAATATTCTTAATTACTGTGCAATTTTTCAAAACGACATTTATTAAAAAAAATGGAGGAATTGTTTTATTTTGCCCCTTCCGATAGATTGTGCTTCAAGGTTTTGGCGACTCCATTGCTCTATAGTCTATAGATTCTTTCTTGTCTCGTCAAATCCTATTTAATACTCCAAGAAATAAGCAGCTTCGAAGAGATATAGGGCAAGAAAACACCAGCTTTGAGTTCCATCTCAAGTGATACTCAACCCTAAGATCTGAAATTTGTCGCGGGATCACTCGAGATCGACTGGTAAAATCACTTTTTCCCAAATTGGGTTCGAATTTTACAGATAAATCATCTTTAATTCAAGTGTCGACCCTTTGTGCCTCCTACAAAATTTCACCAAAGTTTGTAACTTTTGCCTTATTGCTCGCTCCAAGGTGTCGAAATCTGCTTTAGATTGGTTTAATGTTCGATTCTTGACTTGTATTCTCAATCCCTCTTCTTAAAATTGAAGGCCCTTTTGTTCGCCCTGTTTTTGTAGATTGGAAGGAGCAATGATGGGGGTTGTGAGCAAGTTCTTTATAGCATCTGTGCTTATGTGGGCGGCTCCTATTGCCATTATTTATGGATTCAACCATAATTTGTTCCCTGGTAATTGATTACTAGTCATATTAATGGATGAGTATTTTAGATACAAATTACCCTCTGTTTTTGTTCCTTAAATCTGCTGAAAATGAATTGAATTTGAACAAGTGTGAACCGTTGTTGAGACACAAATTCTTGTGTGAGGCGGCTTAAAGGCTAGGCGGGTCGACCTGCCATACTATTTTAACAAAATCGCATACCTATGCTATGAAATGTTATGTTTTGTTTATGTTGTTTTTTTAAAGTATGACATTTCATTTTGGAAGTATTCACATACCTTATGAACTTCTAAAGATGGAACTGAAGTGAGCGGGTGCTTTTTTAAAAAAAGGAAAAAAAAAAATGCTGTTGAGGTATGTTGATTTGGAACAGGTTCGACTAGATTGTCTCCCGAGTCCATGACCTTGTGGAGTGGGCTTCTGGCAGTCGTGTCGGTCAATGTAGTTATAGTGCTTTACATTTACTCGGCCATGAAAGAGCCCTCAGACAAACATGAGCCAGATGCTAAATTCCTGGCGGATGCAAAGGCCAGCATAAAGCAGCCTGCGACAACTGAAGCCGGGTCATCTTCAGACCGTGCAAAACAAGAATAGCCTATGTTCATGTCGAGTAAAATACCAAGATGATCACATTATATTCTCCAGGAAGGATCAAAATCGATAGTGAGCATAAGCCCTTGATGCACAATCATGAAGATTCTGCTTTCTTAGCTAATGCTGTGGGTGTCTGCTTGTCTTGGATGTCGATTTTTTATCAAATAGTTTGTGGAAGTGAAGAGTCGAGTGAGATTTTGGTCTCTCCTTTTTTTTTTGGTTATTATTCAGATGCTAAAGTTGGTTATTTTGGTTGATGTTAGTGAGAGAATAGGCTGTTGTTGCTGTTAATCTCTTATTAAAGACATGATGGACATATTGAAAGTTTCTCCTTCTCGTGTTTACACATTGTGTAAGTCCATAGTGGTAGATTTCACCATACTGCAGTCACCGTCGTATT